GGGCCAGCCCAGAGGCCGCGGCTTCCTGCTCAGGCTCACACTGCCCCGCGCAGCCATCTGTTCCTGGCCCGGATGGCTGGTCGTATGCTCACAGAAACATTGATCCTTGTGGCCTGGCGGCCATTTGTGCAAACCTCTCCCCATCAGAGCCAGAGCAAAGGCAGAGGGTCCTCTTCATCGGCTGAATGATTTCCTATGTTTGCTAACAGCACAAGCTTCCCCCTTCCCTCCACTGTAATTTTCTCTTTGTTTTTCTTCTCTTTTCCTCTTCTTGAAAGCTGTTAGTGTTTGAGGTGGGCGCTGTGCCTGTCAATAGCAGGGACAGAATCAAAGGCATCGTGCATTAAGGACCTTAATCAGCCCGCGGATGTTTCTTTCATCTCAAAAGAGGTAGCACCCTGCTACTGGGAGTTGCAAGGACTGGAGAGTTTGAAGTGTCTGTGTCCAGAGGGCTTTCCCAGGATGGCTGAAGCGAGGCCTGGCCCAGGGGCTGCCTTTTGGCTGTCATTTTAGTAGTGACAAGGAGGTGTATAATACAGGTCTTCATATGGAGGAGTGAGTGTGTTTATAATCTCCTCCAGCCAACCCCTGTCCAATTTGGATAGAAAAGTGATGCTTCCTCAATTACGTATAAAAGGCTTCAGTCTGATTGCTGTACCTACTGGAGCCATCAGGGAAACCAGTTTCTTGTCCTTCCTAAGGGTTCACTGCAACCCATCTATATTTAATAATACACAAAATTACTTCCAGACAGGGCAGCCTTCCAGCTCAGGAGTAGCGAGAAGATTTAGAATAAGGTCTTTCCGCACAAGCTGGAGCCCTCTGATTTAATTATACACAGGTGTGCACATGGCTGCCTCCAGCCACCTCTGTTCCCATTTAGAAGGGAAAGGTGTGAGCAGGCAGGCCTTGGAAGCCGCCTTCACCCTCTGGTACCCAGCCGTGCCTCCGTTGGCTTCCAGGTCTCTGTCCCCGGGGCCGCCCTTACACAGATTCTTTGCATCTTGCTTAGATTATGGCTACCTCCTCCCATGCGTCTCCTCACTTCCTATTTCTATACATTTCTTCCTCATTAATCAAATGAATATGCATCAGATTTTCTATCTACCCCCCAAACCAGGTAAAAAGTCTTGATAGCTTCCTAATAACAGATAAAGCCCAAACTCCTGAGCTTCTGAGTCCAGGCCCTTGGCAATCTGCACCCAAACTGTCAGATTTTCTCTCCCACACTCCCTCACTTGCCCACCTCACACGTCAGATTTTGTTTCATCAAACTCTTGCAATTTCTCCAGTATACACTGTGCTCTTAGTTCCCACTGCCTTTGTGCATTGATTCATTGTTTATCTCATCAACACATTTTTAATTTTATTGTTACAAAAAAACATGAACACTTCAGGCATTGACTGCGCTTGGTGCTGGGAATTTAGTGGTAGCGAAGTCCTTCATCTTCTTGAAGTTTCCAGTATGTGTAGAAAGGCAGGAAGCAGAGTAACCAAACAGACTAGAAATGACATTGTGCAAGTGTAAAGGAGGACACAGTGGGGTCGTGTGAGAGAAGGAGAGAGAGCCCTGCAGGGGAGGAGATGTCTCTTTCTAACAGATTGTCCGGAAGGCATGTAGAGGCACGGTATTAAGCCGAAACTGGAGAGGTGAGGAAAAACCCGGAGATGAGACCGTCCTTCAGGCAGAAGTGTGTGTAGAAGCCTTGGCATGGAGCAGCACTTAGGACTTTTGAGACCCAATGGAAACCTTGCAGAGTGAAAGCTGAGTAAGAAGAGAGGCTGGCGTAGGTGTGAGGCAGTGGTCTGGGCTTTCGGCACACTCAGAAGCTTGAGTTTTACCCCAGGCAACAGTAACGGGCAGGACGAGGTTAGGCTGAGGTGCAGGGAATGCTTCTTTTCTGGTGGGGCGGTAGAGGTCGTGACAGAACTCTGGGGACAGGCTCATGCAGGGGCAGGGAGGGATGAGGACAAGTTGCTGAGAGGGCCAGTGTGGCCCTGTTTACCCCCATCCTCTCTCTCTGTGGGCCTTGGAGATCTGTGTCAAGCTAGTATAAAGATGGGGCAGGCGAGCGTGTGCCGGTGTCAGGGGGACTCCAACCTCAGCTAGCGAGGGACTCCATGGTCAGGGTTGTCTTTCTAGCTGTCCAAGCAGCCTCTTCCCCCTGTGCAACCTGCTGCCTAAACCAGGGCAGCGAGCCCCAAAACAATCACACAATCACACACTTGCAGACACGGTAGGTCTCGGTCCCGCAGTGGCAAGTTCTCCTCCACGGGCTTTCCTCCGGGAGCGCATCCGTTTTTCTTCGGTTGCTAATAAAAATCCCCAGCCCTGTTCTTTCTCCTTCGCTTCCTTCTATTGCTTCTGACAGAGTTTGCCAGTTAGCTGAGGTCAGGATTTCCTTTTTACAAACAACCTGCTTTCAGTCAGCCGGGCCAGAGGTTTCCTAAATTACAAACCCTTTCATTTCTTCTGCCACAAGTCATCCTGTCAGTTTGTATAATCACACAGATTGGAGAGAGATGGAACTGCTCAGAGAAACCCTGAAAGAAAGACATGCTCTTCAGGCTGTCATGAATGTGAGCCTCTGGATTCTCAAAAAAGCTCTCCTGAAGGGGATGTCTGGAGTTATTTCAACTGAGGCTTGTGTACCTGTGTATAGTGTGGGTAAAGTCTGCAAGGAAATGTCTTAAATTCACACAGTGCCTGTTTTTGCCATGTTCTGTTAAGCAAATGGCCTCCCTCACTCATTTGAATTGGGAAACAGCCACGTTATATGCAAATGTTCTGAAAAGCAAATTTAAGAAGTTATTACAAAACTGTATATGTTTGTTGCTTTCTTTTGATATTTATAAATGCTCACTGGAAGATAAATTTTAAATCAAACTTTGGAAGGATGACCAAACTGGCAGGCTAACGTTAAAATTAAAATTCACACATCGTTTGAAAATTGCTCACTGTGAGCATGAGGTCAGGTAGTCCTTAAAAATTGGAAGGGGTCGCCTGAGACCACCCTGATGTTTAGTGGTAGGCCAGGGAGTGAAAACCAAACTTCAGCGGCCTCATAACCCTAATCTTTCCATGATTCTCTGTTGTATCCAAGAGAGTGGGTTGGGGTCAAGACTTTGCCTTATTTGGCTATGACCCCTGGGCAGAACACTTAACCCAAGTTTTGTAATCTGTAAAATAACAAGGGCTCCACTGAACACTACTGTAAGTCTAGGGTAGTGTGCAGGTATCTCTCATAGGGAAGGCCATGGGTGCTAAAGCCCGGACTGAAGAATTGTTTCTGTCCTGTCTTCTTTTACTTTCTCCCATGAAAGGGAAGCAGTCATGCTCATGTGTAGTGGGAACATAAAGCCTGAAGTGTCACTCTGAGATGGACAGTTAAGCCCTGCCCACCTGCCTTCTCCTGGCCCCTCACCACTCTCTCTCTCTGAGCTCCAGCTGCATAGCCCTGGGGTCCCCTCTTCTTTTCCTTCCTTACTCTTCCTGAGCTTGTTGCATCCTTTCTAATCTAGGGACACTCACAGACTCTTCTCTACTCCCATCTCTTTAATTTTAAAGGGTAAATTAGATCATACCCCTGTGTAAAACGCTCACTGGCCTCCCTTTCAATACTTAGGACACAGCCAAACCCTCAACCTGGCCCTCAAGGTCTTCCGAGTCTCTCTCCTTCATAAAATCATCTACTCTCTTATTTTAGGTCCACGGGTGTGGTTTTCATTCCTACAATACAAACACTAGAAGCATTCTCTGATGAAGACATTTGCCTTTCTGACCTGACTGTCTCATTCATTTGTTCAGTAATTCATTTTTATGTCTGTCGCTACCAAATCCAATGTACACACCCAGTCCTACACTGGGATAGTGCCCAGGGCAGGCCCCAGTGAGTCAGTCTATCAGCTGGAATATGGACTGCCAATAACGACTGGGTGGGGTGAGGTGTTCAAGAGAAGGCGCTCACGCTGTTTGCCACCATGGCAGAGAAGGTACTTGAGACCAGGAGGGGCTAGAGCTGGCCATGATTAGGGTGGCCTGAGTCTCAGAGGTCTTTGCCAGCACTGGACATGCTCTGAAAGAAGGCGAGGCAGACCTCAGTCAGGGCTGTTTGGTCCATTAGAAAGCCTTTTGTCTTCACCTACTGTACTGAAGTTTGTTCAGTAATACAAGACAATGCTGAGAAGAAAGCACAGCATGCATTTGGAGGTCTCTAGAATGCCAGGGGGAGGAATCTGAGCTCTACTCCGTAGTCAAAGAGGTAGTGGGTGTCACGTTAGAAAATTCATTTTCTGAGTGTGTGCCCTTCACTTTGCCTATCTTTCATACTTTCTTCACCTAAGACCTAATAATCCCTTCATTCCCTCCCCTGTACCACTCTGTAAGTATTTTCCTCAAACTCTGTTTCTTCTTAGGGCAAATGTCTCATTATTCAAGCTGCTTTGACCTAGTGTGTGTCTGTGGGAAAGACACACCATGGGGCTGATAAATAGGTCACACAACTATACGCTTGATTTTTCACGTTTGTATATATGAATGTTGTATTTCTAAGATTAAATTCTCAGGAGGAAGGAACTGTATTGTTTTATAGATTTCGGTCAGTGATTAACCTGGCAAATCACAGAGATAAATGTTGTAGATTTTTTTTTTAATGAAACTGCCTTCTATTGCTATGCCTTGAGTATTTAAGCCGCTAAATTGACGACCTGCAATCCAAGATCCTTTATTCTGAATTCTCTTCTATAGTCGATACATTCGAGTCAGAATCCAGTTTGCGTAGTTGATAAGCAAGTACAGACCTTTTCCAGGCATTGGTTCTTACAGTGACCAAAGAAACAGTCACTGCTTTCCAATGTTGATCCCCTGGAGGACGGATGAGGCCATCGCTGCAGTTGCTTCCTTCAACTTTCTTTCTTCGGACTTTGTTCTAATGCAACCAAGATCCCACTGTTACTTTGTATAACCAGGAGGGAAAGATGATGCTGAGATTCAAGGAGTGTACAGTACTTCACAACTCAATTTTATTAATTTAAACACAAAAGTAATGAAGAAAAATTCTGTACACAATTGTGGATACAACACACCTTTTTACAGTAAGGCCAAGATAAATTCTGCCTTTCAATCTGCATAAACATGAAAAGGAGAAGGTTAGAAAATTGTCAACTTCTGTCTGCCTCAAGCAAAAAAGGAAAAGAGAAACTAATTCAACTGTTCAACACTTTGGAGAATTCACAAATGACTAATTCTAGCAGCAACACGAACCTTCAGGAGAGGATGGCGTAGCTCTTTACTAGTTGGGGGGCAAGGCTGGTGCCCCCCAAGATACATACTATTAAAGACAATTAATCCAAAAAGTAATTCCATGGCAATGAAGGCTTTCGATGAGAATGACTAGTGTCCAAACAAATCAATTGCTTCTGGAGAAACTTTCTTATGGATATAACAGAGGTAACAAATTTTATTTGCCAAGATCTATACTTATTATGTAATACACAATATAAGAGGTGTGTAACATTATTGTTTCGGTGGTGATGACTGGGCCATGTCCATTGGTCGCAATGAACTTAGTGGGAAGGAAGACAGAGTACAAATAAAGGACGTGATGTCAAGTTGTGCTGATTTCCAGCTATGTGCTAATGTTCTCCTTTATTTAAACGAGAAAATGCAGGCATAATAATAATTTTGAGCACATGAAAACTCTGCTAGTCTCCAATTCACAAACCATTTTATTAATAAAATATATCTATCATCTATATTCTTTCTGTGGGATGAAGCATTTGAATAATCATTTTTTCCAAGTAGTTACATATAATACATTAGTATTGAAGTGAAACAAATGAGGCAGTAAGAGGACGTTTGATTTGTTTCAAATCGATTAAACAGCTATGTTATTTTTATCCAGGCCCTCCTAACCTCATTTTAAAAGAATCAGAAGAACTGATGGGCAAAAAGATCTGGAAAACAAAATCCTTATTGACACTTAATATCCGTGCTTTTGGTCTTGACAACATTATTTTTAAAAAATCCTTTATCTACATATTTATACCCAATCCTTAGATAAGGCACTGCACATGGCTTTCTGCACAGGCTGCCTCAGGCTTCACTATCAAGGCATTACTACCTTTCAATATCATTTCGCTACACAATATGTAAAAGAATCATCCATTATTACAAATTTACACCAAAAATTCTTTCTGTACATGATTGTCTCAGTGATGTACATATTATACGCTTAAATTAGACATACTTTACTTTGCAATGTGCTAATATTCAAAGAACTTGCCACATCACGAGGCAAAGGCCTTTAATCACTTATTTCTTACGTTATCATCTCTTCAATTATCTGATGTCAAAAAGTCCATTTGGGGGAATTGTATGGTATATGAGTTATACCTCAGTAAATCTGTTTTTTAAAAAGTCTGTTCATAAATAAGTAGAGATGTACAGATTACCCTGGGTATGAGACTCCAAAAAGTAAACCTTCTTTATGAGAAAATTCCTCCACGGGTATTCAAGGATACGTTTCAGTTTTTGTTGTGCAATCAGATTTGCTGTATTGGAGAAGCTGTTTCTGTCACATTGAAAACGCTAAAAGCTGAAGTATTCGCAGGTCCTTTCTTCACAGGTTTGAACCGTGTAGTTACTGTGGCAGAGACACGTTACGCTGTGCTAGAACATTTTCATGGCTTATTTTCATTGGATTCACAGTACTAGAGTCAACAGCCGTTCTGAAGAAATAGATGTGGTCCTCCGTTAACTGCGAGGGCAGAGGTCAAGACCGACAGCAGCTGCGCATCAGTATGTTGAGACTGCTGCATTCTGGTGTCCAGAGCTGACATGAGACACAGCCTGTTGGATCTGGCCCTGGTGACAGGGCAGTTGTGCAGTTTCATAGTGTCTTGAGGCTGTTACAGGTACTCCAGTTCCAAGGCATGATGCAGTGCCATGAGGTCTGAGTGACTGGAGACCCTCCAGAAGGGCATCGCGTGCTGCAGAAGGGCAGACACATGGTGAGGACAAAGAACACATCCAGGCAAGCCCTTCCAGTGCCTACTGAAATCCACTACCATGCTCATTTCAGTATTGTGGGAAGTGTCAGCCAGCTTCTTAACATCACAGCTGTTTAAAATAAAACTAGACCCATGTCTATCACCATGCACTGAAGTAAAAATGGATCATAAATCTAAATACTAAAACAGAAAAACTAAATCTACTGGAGGAGAAAGTAGGTAGAAATCTTGAAGACATAGGAGTAGGCCAAGCGGTCATGAACAATATCCAAACTGCACAGGAAATACTTCAAAGAATCAAGTTGGATCTCATTTTATTGAAAAGATTTTGCACATCGAAAGAAATCACAAACAAGGTAAAAAGAAAACCCATGAATTGGGAAAAAATTTTAGCCAACTATTCCTCAGACAAAGAAGTTCTATCTAGAGTATATAAAGAATTAAAAAAAAAAAAAATCAGGCCACCAAAGTTCAAAGACCCCTTCCAAAAATGGGCATCTGAGATGAATACATACTTCTCAGATGAAGAAATACTAATGGCAAATAAATATATGAAAAAATGTTCAACATCATTGGTTGTTTGAGAAATGCAAATTACAACAACACTGAGATTCCATCTCACCCCAGAAAGAAGGATTATCATCAGGCAGTCAACCAGTAACAAATGCTGGTGGGGCTGTGGGGAAAAAGGAACCCTTCTCCACTGCTGGTGGAAGTGTAGACTGGTGCAACCACTGGTGGAAATCAGTGTGAAAATTCCTTAAAAAGCTAGGATTAGAGGTTGCATTTGATCCAGCTATTCCACTTCTGAGTATTTTTGCAGAAGAATTGAAAACATCATACCACAGTTACATGTGCACCTATGTTTATAGCAGCACAATTTGTCACAGCTAAATCTTGGAAACAACCCAAATGCTCATTAACTAAAGAATGGATTAAAAAATGTGGTATTTTTATACAATGGAGTATTACTCAGCAATAAAGAAAGATAGGCTTTTATAGGTAAATGGATGCAGCTAGAGGCCATACTCTGGAGTGAGATAAATCAGATCTGCATGTGTAAACATCATATTGTCTCCCTAGTGTAAGAAACTGAAAGAGTAAATAAAACCTGAAAGATACAATAGATATTGTGAAAGGGAAAGAAACTACTCAAAAGGAAAAAATAATTGGGATGGCAGAAAGGAGAAAAGAAAGAAAGAGTGAAGGAAATAAATATATATATATTTTAGCTAGATAGCTAGGATAATTATACTACTAATTTCTATTGGTTTATTGAAAGGAACAGTTAATGCTTCATTGATCAGTTTTGCATGCCTACAATTTGAACAATTACTTTGAAAATAACAATATGTAATATAACAACCATTGTTAATTTCCTATCATCTTGTTTTGAAATCCTGTATCATTTTTATTGTTTTTTAAAAACTTATCTTTAAAATAAAAAATAAAATATATCTGCTTACTATCAAGGGCATGATCTAAAGAAAACCAAGTCTAGCAGAGAAGATCTGTGGTTCAAAAGCCCACATGATAAATAATCAGAATTAATACAATATAATAATGCTTACCCTAACTTAACGAGGCACAGTGAACCGATGGAAAGATTTTTATGCATTTATAAGAGGTTCCCATGACAAATGGTGCAGACTTTTCCCTGCATTAGTGTAGAGCAATATTTCTTATATGAAATCGCAGAGAACTGATGACAAAAGAGGAAAAGAGAGACACATGCTCTGACGAGGAGACCCGAGCTGTACTCTCTACCCTGATAATCGCTATGTGATGACTTCTCATTATGATACCATCTCCCTGGAGCCCTGGGTTCGTTTATTTATAAAATGAATGTAGTAGAAATAACTCAAAATTATACCTTTGTTGACAATTTTTATTACCAGAGCAAAGGCCATTACCTCTATAGCACTATAGCTGCAGTATGAATGCAATGTATGATACATAGGAGACCCAAGCATCTACTGCCCAGCCAAGATATGGCTGATGAAACAGCTGGATTCTGACTTGCGGCAGTGTGGGATAAAGAATCAAACTGGTAACACAGAGAGAGGGGACTCAGCTCTACGCCGGAGAAGGTGAGTTGGGCTTGTGTTGAGCTGGAAGAATGGAGAAACCTGAAGAGGTAGACGGTCAGGGGCTGGGACTCCCAGGTAGCAGGAGAGGTACATGTGGAACAAAGCGGACAGGTAGGATGCACACAACATCTGCAATCCCTAGTCTGGAAGTGATGGTGCTAACACAATGGGTTCCTTCTAGAGACAATGACAAATGAGGTTTCTCTAAGATAAAAGCACTCAGAATATCTCACTGAGGAGTTTAGGCTTTATCTTGTAAATGGAAAGGAAAGGCAGATAACAGTCCCTCAGTGCAGGGAGAGGACAGGAAGCCAGGGTATGGATTCGGAGGTGTGTGTGTGGTACGTAGCAGAGAATCCAGGCAGTGACCGTGGGATATAGTGAGTGCAATGGGCGGGAGACACTTCTGAAGAGCAAATTGACGTGAGTCAGTGAAAGGCTGGAAGCAAAGAACACCCACACAAGTCTGAGTGAGCGGTGAAACTGGGTTAGGACAGCTAAGTTGCGATGGCTGCATTCAGCTGTTCAGTAGGATATGACGTGTTATAACCAAATAGAGATAACCCACCAGGTAACTGGAGCCCAGCGGCCAGAAATACAGCTACTCATGAATCGTACAAGCAATTAGTTTATCAGGGAGAGCCATTCTCTGAGAGAAGTGGGTACCCGAGGAGCACATGCCTTGGGGCTTTAGAACTAAAATATAACACATTTTTTCTGCTCCTCTTGAAGGTGAAACTGTCCAAATCCCCTTATTCTGCCCTTCCCTGTTTGATATTTCATATTTATCCTTTTGATTACATATGAAATTCATCCTATAAAAATCAGGGTACACAGACACTTACATGTGAATTGAATTTCTACTGAATTATTTAAACATGCATTAACAGAATTAAAATCCCTTATTGTCTGACTCAAGTACTGCAGTTCTAGGCACTTATCCCACAGCTACACTCGCACGTGCTTGAACCACGTAAAGAACATTCACTGCAGAACTCTGTGTAATAATAAATACTGGAACCCACCTAATGTTCAGCCCCAGGAGACTGATGAAATAATAGCATGTCCACACAATGGAATGCCAGTGCAGTTACTTAAAAGGATAAGAAATGCATAGCTCTTTTTTCTTCTTTCCCTCATCCCAGTTGTTCCTTCCTTGGAGCAATTTCTTTCCCTTTCCTATCATCTATTGTACGTTTTGAGTTTTACCTAGTCTTTCAGGTTTCTACACCAAGGAGACAATATGATGTTTACACATCTGGGTCTGATTTATTTCACTTGTGAGTATGAAGAAAGAAGGAAGGCAAAATATAAATATATATATACGAATAGCTGCAATAACTGTATTGCTGATGTCTGATGGTGTATCAAAATGAACAGTTAATGCTTACAATTTTTTATGTTCTGGTCGATTTTGCATGCTTGTGTCTGGTGGTCTGAGCAACTGATTTGAAGGTAACAATATGCAATGGAATTACAATGGTGAACTCCTACCATCTTGTCTAGTGATACTCTGTATTATCTCTAATGTTTTATTGAAGAATTATTTTCTTATTCTCTTTAATGGTTTGAGCAATCTTTCATTCTTACATCTGGTAATCTGAGCAATGTAGTTGAGGATAGCAATATGCAATGTAATAACCACTGTTGACTTGTATTATTTTGTCACTTTGTATCACTTTGAATGTTCTTGCTCTGATTTGTTTATGTTCGTGATACTGGTATGCTGGTACTGTTCTATATTTGTTTGTTTGTTTCTCATTTACTACTCTCTTTAAAATAAAAAAAAAGAAATGCATAGCTCTATGTACTGATATAGATAACTGCTAGAGTAAGAAGAAAAAAAAGTAAAATTTCCATTGGTGTTAAAAAAAAAAACCTATCCACTGCACTTTCATATCTATGTTATTTCTAGACAGTTTGCACATGGAGGTGCAAATAAAGAGTCCTCAAAAGTTTTTTCCAACAACTCATTATGAAACTTTGGGGAATACAGCCTTTTCAGTAATTGTATCTCTATTCTATTCTAGACAGAAGTAAGCTCTTTAAGCATGAAAATGAAATCCAGTTTGAGACCTGGCATACAGTAAGTGACCACTAAGTGTTAATGAATAAATGACTTTATAAACAGGAAGTCCAGTAAATTGCATTATTATAATTTTATGTACCACGTAAAATTAAAGAATTAAATTACTTTACAATTTTTAAAATAAAAGTGGCTTGTATTTTTATCCTAAATTTAGTATCAGGTATTAGCAGTCAGGTTTTCAGTTTTACCTTGGATTTCAAGAAGTTTCGGAGTACACATTTAAAGCAAACACTTTTTTTGATAAAGTCTTTGTCACGCATTATGCAGAAAATGGATGTTGGCCATTTTCTGCCGAGTTATTTGCAAGATTTATTTTGAATAGTTTTGTGAAAAGTAAATACAGTTAGTTTAGTAAGGCCACTTTTACTGTAGAAATGCAATCTCGATATTAACATTTTGGCTTTTTAAAAATCTATACATGTCTATTTCATGCAAGTGATACTGTACTATAAGCAACTAATTTTATGGTAAAAAATTCTTTTCTTTTTGAAAAAACTTTTTATGATACTAATTATACAGTTAGATTAAATTACTTATGAAAGACTTCACACTATTTTGGCAAAGAGAATCAGGATGACAGAACAGACTTCAAGTGACCTTTAACAACATAAGCAACTAGAGAATTTCCTTCTCTAGCAAAAGAGCATTATTAGGGGGGTGAAAAACATCTCTATGGGGAAAAGAGAATGTTATAGTAGACTTTAAAAGAATGTAGGAAACTGAGACGCATGCTAAGTGGTTAAAATTGATTTTGAAGAAATGCAAAATGTTTGATTTTGCAGAACGTTTTCATGCTTAAATGTGCAGGACTTCACCAACTTGCCATTAACTTAGTAATTTAAGGTGATCGGTCACTGAAGTATCAGAATTAATGATGTGCTTTTAAAAGCTTAACCATGAATGTAAACTTAGGAGAAAGCAGACAACTGTGCAGTTATACAATATATCTGCCTCCAAAAAACGAAACAAAAATTGCACTATCTCAGTTTTAAAACATATACATTATTAAAAACTGAAATCCTGTCTAAAATACTGAAGCGAAGTCCATAGTTTGTAGGACCTTTGTTCTAAATCTCATGGCCAGAGACATAATGCGATTCAAATACTCGTTTGGTGTTTTACTTCACCCCAACCCCCAACACCACTGGGAAGGGAACCCCGGGCTTTTGCACTCAGCTACCTCCCCAGCACTTTTCATTCTGAGATAGGGTCTCGCCAAGCTCAGACATGCTATCCTTCTGCCTCAGCCTCCTGGAGTGCTGGGGTTACAGGCATGTGCCACTGTACCCCTACTCTGGCAGCTCTTTGGCTGTTTGATTTGGCCAAGTTATTTAACCTTCTTATGCTTCATCAAGAAAGTGGGTCTGGTCCTTCCTCACAGAATTATTGTGAGGGTTTTTGAAATAGTGGGTAGAAATGCCTAAAAGAAGGACTGGTATCCAAGGGTTTGAAATTAGTAGCAATTCTTGTTATTGATCAGGATGATTCTTAATCGTATAGCATAGATAACCATCTCTTCATTTACTTCACTGCCTTGAGCTTTTATCTGTACTTTGTATAGTATATTGTGGAATTGGAGGGTCTTTTTCCCTAAATATTAGATATTCTCTACTTCTGTACAGAACGCAACTTAGATATTCATTATTGATTGTAAATTATAATCATGTCTCTTAATTCATAAAACAGTTATTTAAACACTAATTTTTTAAAAGCAGACAAACCATTCTCCTGACAGTAAAAAAAGAAAAAGCTGTTTAAACTACCACTATGTGATAAATTGATAACACCTGAATCTTTTGCAAGATGTTAGGAATTAGAATCTTTTGAAAAATTCATATTTTGCACACACGGAGAGGCAGGTCTCAGTATGCAGTGTTTGTTTGCATCAGACAGTTTTGGACTCATATGTAGTTATCAGGAAATCAAAATTGAAGCTACAAAGACTCACGTCTAGTAAAAAAAAAAAAAAAAATCAAAAAGAAGGTTGTAGGTAGCTGCTGAATTTCTCTTTGATGTACCTGTTGTAAGAATTAAAATTGTTTCCGTTGCTATTCTTTGGACATGTTAACTGTTCTTTAAAGGCTGCAAATGTTCTAGTCCTAGTAGTGCTTTTGATTCTATCATCAAACCAAGAATTCCTTTGTTTTGTGTTGTGTTCAGGGAAGCCAAAAGAGTAATACATTTCTCAGAAAGATTTAAGAAGTCAAACCTTGATAGGCCTGTATTTCCAGCACTCAGGAGGCTGAAGCAGAAGGATCCCTGTGAGTTCTAGGCCAGCCTAGACTACATAGAGAGTTCAAGGCCAGCCTGACTACATAGAGGCCCTGTCTCAAAAACAAAAATACTTTGATAGGGCTCTAAGGATTTTATCTGTGTTCCTTGCACTTTTCATATGCATCTCTGAGAGGGACCAGGCTGGAAGGCAGATTTACACCCTGGCCTGGGCCTACATTGCTCAGAGGTGGAGACTGTTCCACACCTCCTTGGCCACTCTGAACTCCAGAGTAGGAATGGCCTAGGAATTCCAGAGGCTTTTCCAGAAAAACCACTTGAGTTGAGATTCCTACCAGACATTCTCTTTAAATCTCCAGGACTGGGTTTTGGGAATTCTGTTAGTCTGGTACAGAATGTACCTAGCAGTGATAGTGGTAGGCCACTGGTGAAATGGGAAGGTCGGAATTAGTTCCTAATTGGCAAACGCTGCTTTGCATCAAGCACTAGTGGCCTTGAAGTGGGTGTGAGTTTCCACTGGCACCAAGCACACTCCAACAGCTCCTGATCCTGGGCACAAACTCTGTCTGGGATATCAGTGAATCCATCAGCCACAGACAGAATCAGGGGTAGCACCTATGGTTTAACTGGAATTTAGAGGAACTTGAAGTGAATTTAGCTGTCTTCAAAGGCTATGCCCTGGGCTGCAACTGTGGGCTGGAATTTTATATACTGGAATGTTGTAAATGAGCTGAATTCCGTCCTTTATAGTAATAGGCAAGGACTGATGAATTAGTGCATAGGGACGGGAGGGGAAACTTATGCTACTGGCTTGTGTCATAAAATATTTGATGTTCTCCAAGAAAGGCTTATACTGCAAGGCACAAATGCACCAAGATTTATGGAGCTGTAAAACAATTTGAAGATAGAGCCTCAAATAACAATCTGAGCAACAACAAAAAGACCCCGACCTCTGCAGCTCAGCTGGTGAAAAGGCACATCCACAAGGAGTTCACATCTATCAGGCTGTTTCATGGGAAGCACAGATCTTACATAAATTCCAACACAGGCTAGGGGCCTGGCTACTACGATTCTTGTTTATAGATAATAAGAAAGAAATGGAAGGTTTAAGGAACGTGTTCAAGGTCATGGGGTAGGTAAGGGACTGGTATACAATTCAAACCCAGGCTGGATCAAGAATCCTAGCTGCTTACCACTGCAGCTTCTCCAGTTAGAGTGTAGGTGATAATATAACCGAGCTCCTAAAAGCAAAGGCAGTACATGAACTAAACATTGAAAAATGAGTAAGACAATGACAGAAGGGCTTCGAGGCAAAGATAATTTCAGGGAAAGGCAGCCACAGGGAAAAAGTGCTGGGCCAGGTCAGAGGAAAGCAGTAGGGTGTGAATACATAGCGTGTTCATGTGCCGGAAACTTAGTTCCCAAATTCATAGGTTGGGGCTGGGGATTTAGCTCAGCGGCAAAAGCGCCTGCCTGACAAGCGCAAGGTCATGAGTTCGGTTCCCGGTACCGGAGAAAAAAAAAAAAAAAAAAAAAAAAAAATTCATAGGTTGATGGTGCAGTATTTGAAGGAGGAGCCTCTGAGAGGTAATGAGAATTAGAGAAAGTCATGATGGTTTTAGTGGCTTTGCAAGAAAAGGAAGAGGCCTACGCCAGAACACTTGCTCTGACTTGACATGTGATGCCCTCCACCTTGCTATCATGCAGCAAGCAGGCTTTCACCTTTGGACCTCACAGGCTCCAGAACTGTGAGTCAAATAAACCTGTACTCTTTAATAATTACCCAGCCTCAAGTATTTTGTTTCAGCAACAGAAAATGGACTGAAACCAAAGGTCAGCAGATGAATGTGACTGCAGTGTGGCATGCAGGAGGGAGAAAGATCACAAAGCGGGACATAACCAGATTTCAAAGACCCCAAGTGCCAGGCTAAAGAAGGTGAGTGTCCCTTTTCAACAGTGCCGTGAGATGTCTCTTAGCTTCTGCTAAGAGAAATGACAGAATTACACTGGCAGAGATTCAGAAGAATAAAATGAAGGGTGAGGGGCAAACGGGAAGGCAGGAGACTGATAGGTCTACTCCTTTCTGAACGTTCTGAGAAGTTTCCTCTAGGAGAACACATCATTTCCACCCTGCAGCCTACTCCGGCCACCTGGGAGAAGCTTCCCAAACTGGACAGTTCTTCAGCTGCATCCAGGTTCATAGACCCAAATTTGAACGGCCGGACCATGTGCTGTCTGCCTTGGGTGTAGAAAGGGGCATGCAGGCTGCCTCAAGAACTCAAGAACTCAGGAACAGCATAAGGTGCCCTCTCTGTTCTGGATGCAGGCTACACTGTGGAGCTTGCCTTTCTGCTTCCAAAGTCTACATTCCATCAAGACCAGTCAATCACCCAGGACTGTTAAGCTTGTGCATGCAATTTGAAAAGGTCACTTCGTGTTTACTGAATTCTCCTCTGCCCCTTCCCAGTGCTTCCGGTTCTGCACACTTTCACAGTCTGCTTCACAGAAGTGGAACTTGATTCTATGACTCCGTTATGAGAATTCTGGGGACTAAGAAAAAGACAGAGGACACAGCCTACAGGAACGCTCACCTTTTTCGCTCCCTGTTCTTCTTCCACGCCGTCTCCTATAACCACATACACCACTTTTCTTCCAAACCTTTGAATTATCCTCTCAAAACAGCTTTCTTTTCCTAATGAACAAAAACAAATTATAGAAAATACAAACTCTGAAATTTTATATAAAATGCTTCCTTTATGCTTCTGCCGCAACTCTATACCTCAGGAACTAGTGCCACTCAGGCAGCGGGTGGAACGGCACAATGGACTTACAATTGTAAATTAATTACCAATACAATACCTGGTCCTCAGAAACTGAGTTTAAGTATTCTTCTCCCAAGCAGTCATTTATTAAAAAATAGGATCTAGTCAATCCCAGTTTAATAACTGGGAGAAAATGTTTTGCTTTGCATTAATATGTTTTTCCCCCCACAAACTGAGACTAAACAAAGGCATGCAATCCTGGCAAACATTTTAACTTTGAAAAATGTTTCATAATATGTCATCCTCAAAATAACATTTGATCCAAAGACCATTGAGAATGATCTAAAAAATAACTGGACTTGGTTTTGGTTTAGCAAGGAAAAACAAACAGTGGAATTAGTTTATCCCTTCATTTTCAGGTTGAATTAAAGACCTTCCAAGCCTAATGTGTTTACTGGAAATATTCTCATAAAACTTCTCCAGAAGTAAATAACAGGTAATTCGGGGTGCTACACTCAAATCCTGCCCATTTCACTCAGGCATCTCACGTTCAATAAAGCACTTTCCTAGAGGAAAAGTGGGATAAAGGTAACAGAACACCCTTATCTGTCTATTATCTTTCCCATGTCATGACTTAGTTTGGGCTTCCATGGCGGCTACACTGTCAGCACATCCCTGCATTAATGCAGCCTTTGTTTCTTCTTAGAGGAGAACCTGGTGTTCCAAGTCTAGGGCTGCCAATGGGGTCATTTTAATGGACAATGGGACAGTTTATAGTTTTCAAATGTGAATGGCTCAGTGGGGCCTGCACCTCTTTCAAATAAGGATCAGGTATACACATGAACAAATTGCTTGTTTGCTTAAACAAATGTCTGCTTTATATTTGTATTTTGCACTAAAATCTCTCATTTGCATCTGACAGAATGAAATAGAGCTAGCCTTATTCAAGGGATGTTATTTCAATGCTACTTTAGTTGTCCACTAAACTGTGAAACATCAAATCACTTTAAGAAACAAATTCAAAATGTGCATCCAAATACCCGTCACAAAACTCTTTTCCCTCTTTGTGGAAAAATGAATGTTTTTGTAATTTTCTTCTCATGGAAAAAGGAAAGTTAATGCATTTAGTAATGAAGTTGGGGTGGACTCCAATAAGAAAATTCTTGCCTATGTACTAGCTCCTTCATTGTAAATTTTGGGTCATGCAGAAATTTTTCACAATAAAGATTAAGAAAATAAAGCTGACTTTTAGAAATTCATTAGAAGCCACATACAAAATATTCACTCTAATGAATCCATTTTGTTCAAGAGAGCATCAGTGCTCTGCTAAAGGAGACATAAATCACCTCCTATGACATTGGAATTTTGTCTCCAGTGAAAATTCCTGGGTTTTCTGCACTGATCTCCACGTAGATCTAATTTGATGGCACAATTAACAATAACTACCAGAGTTTCAATCTCAATTTTCTTATTAAAATATAGGAAAATGAGGCCCTACCACTGGTTTTGAGATAATTTCTACCACTCTACCTTATTTTTTTCAGTACAAAATAAAAATTAGAATTAAGTCCAAAATTTCAAATAAGATGCTCTCTTAAAAATAATGCTTACTGCACTGTTACTGTAATTTCCTGTTATATTACCATTTTCAAATTATAAGGGACTAAACTTTAATGCATTTGACATGTGATATACCACATTACTTCCTTTTGAGGGGCCAACACAAACCCCTCATACTATGTATTTTTTGGGAATTTGTCCCAACTTTTATGTGCTGTCAGCCTTACAATAATCACAGTTTAGAAAACACAGTATATTTCCTGTTTGTTGATATGGATGAAAATAGAATTAACATGATTTAAACCAGTTGCTCTTTCATGGAGCAAGAGAATATGTACCTTTTCTGGTTATAATGGGTTACCAGGAATTTGTTCGATTTGGTATATTTTGTAAGTATTTTCCAGAGTTCTAGTCTTAGCCTTTTGGGGAAGTACAGGTCATCCTCAAACTCCAGATATGTATATTTCCAATCTGAGAGATCTACCTGAGTACCCCACAAGCTCTTCTTGCTCAATATTGATATGGTTTAACCTGATTTTCCCTCCAGTTAATCACACCATTCCTTAGATGCCTAAAAGAAACCCCTGTGTCAGTCTTCTTCCCTTCTTATCCATTTCATTCAGAACCATTCTGAGTACTTCCTATGATCCGGGCACTGGAATCGTTATGAAGAGTAATATAGACAAATACAGTCTGTTTGTCTCAAGTACATTAAAGTCTGGTGGGAGAGTCGTACTATAAGCAATTACCCAAGTCATTCTTTAGGGATCATTTACTCAATACTTGGGAGAAGTACAGGAAGTATATGAGTGCATGGAGATGGAAATTTGACCTACCGGGATCCTGTTTTTACCCCTTCTTAGATGGAGTTAAGTCAGTAACAGCCATCTTCCCCTCTCCTATTTGGGTACCCTTCCTCTTCCCTATGGGCTTCCTAAAGCTACATTCATTTCCTCAGGGTAATTTACAGGGCCATTTCTGACTAGACTCAAGTGTGTGTTTCCAGCTCCATCTTTCCAGGGGATCTGCACACTAACCAGCCAGGACTGCTCAGGTCTCTCAGTAGGGAACACATTTTCATTTCTCTTTCTTTTGATCTTAGTAACACATCTGCTTGGTAAACTCCTCTTTGTCCTTTTATACCCAGCTTAAATGTCACTTTGTTCCTTTCCTTTCACTGACACTTGTCCTCTGCCACCTCTTGGTTGGGAATAAATCCTTTCTTGGCTTTATACACATTCAGGCACTTAGCACAGCCCTGAGGGCACAGAAAGGTGATCAGGGCTGGGAATCAGAGACAGATATTCACTTGAATAATTAAGTCTCAGAGCTTTTTAATTACCTCATTTGTAAAATGGAAAAGCCAACTAAAATGTGTAAAATGCTTAGTACAGTTCTGGATATCTAGTAGTTACCTGATAAGTATGTATTTACACATTGCATTATCATATGGTTCACAGTTAGATATCTGTCCCTCCTACCCCCAGGAGAGCCATGACTTTTCACCCCTACCCTTATTCTGTCTCAATTTCTGTTCTAATTAAATTTCATATTTGTCTTTTCCCCCCAACTATGTTCCTTCTTGCAAAAGGCTTAATTTTGGTATCCCCATAGCAAACAAGGGAACCAAACTGTCATATTACATTCAAAGCAAAACAAACCCCATTTCCAGTAATAATAAAGAAAAGTAGTTTTGGAGTTATTTCATTTCTACTTTGTATAGTTTTATACTATTACTCAGTTTAGGTTACAAAATATTTTTATTGATGTTGTCTAAACGAATAAGATAATAATCCAGAATTGATGTTAAGTTACTTATACCTAATATACCCAGATATTAATGTTAGCCAGGACAGAAAAAAATTTATGATTTCAGCTACATGGCTTATTCTTCATATTTCTCTTAATGTCTAAAAAGCCAGTTTTGAAAATTACTTTTCTTTTTTTCTGATGTATTTAGCATCCTGAAAAAAATGCCCTCTCATTTTTACTAAAGGACAAGGGTTGATTTAACAACAAAACAAAACCAGCATAGCTCACCTATTTTAGTTGCACTGTAAATATTTTCTATCGGAAATACAATTCCTAATCCATATAGCAGGACCTTTGCCAGGGCTGGGATGAGCTGAGTCGTTGTTACTAAAATATTCACACAGTTCGTCCTGTGAGAACAGAAAGGAAAAGAAAAGACTGTTGAAAAATAAATCTCCAAAATGAACAAGTATGAGCAGCGCCCATGTCCTGCCAAAGGCTCCCGGAGCGCCTCACCGGGAGTGGATGAGAGAGAGAGCTTTCAGGGCCAGGGTCAACCAGGAGTCAGTCAGCGCTTCGATCTCCGCCCTCAGCTGTAGCCAGGCCTCCCTCTTTGCTGGGCCCAGCAGACCTGTGGATTTGAAAGCACACGTGAACACATAAGCAATGGCCTTGCTGACCTAACTGCGGTTTTATAAATAATGAACACTTAAGAGAACTACTTCTTTCACCTTCAAGCTTTATAGGAATTCTCATACAGTCTCATTCAGCGGACAAATGCATCTTTAGTTTACAAGGAACATTTACTGACTTGGCATTCTGAGCACCCCTTCTTCTTTGGCAGAGGTCTTCTATCTTTCCCATAGGAGCTGACTCTACCTTCTGGCTCCCAGGGTGGGTGTGTGACCTGGCCCTGGCCAATGATTCTGTCCCAGAACTTCTGCTGAATTTATTGAAAGATGTTTGTCCCACCCCTGTGAAGGTACTAAACAACAGGGTATAAACCTGGATCTACTGGTCGTCATTTTGCTACCTTTTGGGAGCAACTGGCCTAGGAGAATTCCTACCCAAAGGAGAGTACAGGATTTCCCGGCAGTGTTATTTGAGCAACTAGTTACATCCATGCTGGAAACATCGCCATCCTTACAATCTTCATTATTAAGTGAACATCTTCTCTCTCATGCTAAAGCTACTGTGACCACTGTGAAGAGATTCAAGCTAATGCAAGCACCTGCTTGGCAGAAAGAGCTTAGCTCCCCATTTTGTGATTTGGCAAGGGTTGCTAAACACGCTTTGCTGGGAGGATAACCAAATGTTAGAGACGTCAAGGAACTTGCCCCAGGTCACACCCCTGAGCAACAAGACAGGTCAGCTAGCTCTAAATCAGAGCAGAGTAATTTCCAGGTGGGTGAAACTGCCTTACAAAACCCATCCTATCCAAAACAGTGTGACCCAAATGTGAGCGGCACTTCTAGAACATTCATGAGACTGTCTCAACCTGCCCTTAAGGTGTCGGTGGGCCGTAGTCACTTGCCTCCCACGTTGTTTTTGTAGGTGTTGTAGATCTCCTTTACTCGTCTGTAGCGGAAGGCCAATTTTCGCATCCAGTCCACTCCGCCCCGGACCCCGGTGGCCAAGCATAAGTTAGCACTGGTGGCTGCAGCAGGAAAGCCATCTGTTCCAAAGTTATAGGTGCTATTTAGATGCAAGAAAAGCCCAAAGTTAACCAAACAGAAGATTCCTCTTAATTAGCCGAGCAATTAAGTGATAAAAAGGAAACGAGCAGCTCCCCTTTCAGTGTGCTCACCTCAGGTCTTGGCCATTGTCATCCGAAGAAACATCATCTATATGAACTTGGTCACATTCCTAAAGTGTAATGAAAATGACACGTGTCAATTTATAACAGACATTTAAAAAACACAGTTATTTTTAGGAACACCTTCATCGGAGCGGCTTTCAACTCTGTCAATCAGTAGGTGGCAGTCTTGTGAAATTGACATTTTTACCTCTTGGGGTCTTTTTCAAAGAAATAAGCAATGCCGTCAACAACTACTGCTAGTCAGCCTCAGAAAACACATTTCTGTGTTTAGAAAGGAAAGTGATTGAAAACAATTAGCATATGTGTTCCATAAACCTCAGGTACCTTAAGACATCATGCTGCTCAGAGCCGGTTCAGTCAGCGTCTCAGCATAACTGAAACCAGACATTTTGGTGAATGTAACATGCTAGAAAAATTAAACCCGATGCTAACTGCCAATGAAATTATGACCTCTGATTGCTGTCGAGCCACACACCAACACAGCCTGAGGCCAGCGTGCCGACGAGCCCAGACAAAAAATCTGTTCCTGGTTTGCCATTTATTTGAGAGATGCGAGTTTTATTCTGTGTGTGTGCGCTCACATGTGTGCGTGCAGGATTAAAAAAAAAGGCAAGAGATACTTCAAAACCTAAATAAAAATAACCGACCACACGCTGTTTCTAATATTTTTTCCAAAGCTTTTTACTACTTTGCTAGTATTACATATTCATTTTAATTATTGGATTTATGAATTTATTATTGGCATAAAGTTCTTTTTGAAAAGACCTGATTTTTAAAATCCTGAGCGGCATATAAAGTGTTTAGAACAGTAGGTTGTAACTGGACCGAGCGGACGTTCATGCACCTGTTTGCACAGGAGTCCTTCCACGCCACTGTTTTACCCGAGGTCCGGGCACGCTTTCGAGAAAAGTAGACCAGACTTAAATATCTGACCGGCAAGCTGTGCCGTCCAGAAACGAGGAGCATACACACTTGGCATGCCTTCCTCCTCAGTCCCCTCCCTCGTTTGAATTCAGCTTCCAAACACTCCAGAGGCTTTTCTTATACTTATTCCATAACAGTTTTAGTTAAAAACATTATTAAAAAGCAACTTCCAGTCACACATCCTCTACTTGGAAAGGTTCTTTTGACTGAGGCTTTGGTCCTATTTCAGATACAGTTAATTTCCTAAGATCTAACCTGTCTCCCTAGCACTCAGCATCGGAATCTAACAAGGAGGACATGTTTAAAGCACTACAGTCAATAGGTGTATTTTTCTGTGGCCAGTTCCTTCTGAACAAATTCTTCCCTCCATGGATTTGTGAGGAAGGGGGCAGGAGATAGAAGTGGAAAGAAACTCAAACCAGCTGTTCCTTAACAGAATTAAAATCATGACCCCCCCAACCTCTTCTCCAAAGCATCTATTTTCTAGGCAGGCCTCTCCCAGCATGCAGCGAGTTCCAAGGAGGAAAAGACTTTGACCTTGTAACCCTCCCCTGCTCTCCTGCGGTCCATAACCTCAGATAAGAAGAAAGGAAAAGCAGGTTTGGGAGGCCTCACATGCTGACTGTGAATTTAACATTTGCAAAGCGGGTCATTCTTGGAAAACATGGTCAGGAACTTCTCACAGTTAACAATTTGATCTTACTTTAGTACACGACGATAATTATTTGTGTTTTCAGAGACACATTTATTCTAGTTTAAGCAAGGTACTTAATCAGGAGAAGAAATATCTGCTCTTTAGCTAGAAATTTTTAAGTTGTTTGTAAGCTACTGTTTTAGAGCCTGTAGTTAGTGTAAACAAAAGGAAGGAAGGAAAGGGGTGGGGGGAGAAAAAAAAAAAGAAAAAGAGAGAAGAAGACCATAGTGCCACGAAGGAGAAACGTTTTTTTGTGGGAGAATGAACACAAAAGAGAAAGTCAGGACTAGAGGAGGCAAAGATATGTTGAAAAAAAAAATTAATTCAAGGAATCAAAGCTGACTTAGAATTCCCAAGTTAACTTTAAGGCTGGGCAGAGGTACTGAGAAAGCAGGGTGTTGTGATGTGTTTTTTAAACTACAGGACTTTTGTCTTCAGTCCCCACGGTGGAGACAGAACTCCTTAACCCTGTTAAAGACCCCATTGTGGCCACTGTTCCCCCACACCCTGTATTTGCTTTCTCCTGCTAATTTGATTTAAACCTTTTTGTTCCCACTTGAAGGATAGTTCAGTATCTTAGTTAGCTCTAATTAAGTGTCAACAGCACCAGGCTTTTACCTGCAGAGAGCAAACTCACTCCAGGGTGACTTGATTAAAGCTAAATTTGGTATAATGGCAACAGGAAACTTTATCATTCATTCTTTATCAGGAAAACTTTTGTAGAATGATTTTAATGAAAAGAGACTTAAAACCAGGGTTTAACTAGAACCTTCAAGAATGAAAAGCTTGTTAAATTGTCTATGTAGAATGTATTCATAGAACTGTCACTCATCTCAAAGAACAATAGAAAAATGTTATACTGCACCAGCTTCAAGTTTATTAAATATATAATGGGAAATAAATGTTTGCGTAAGATTACAAACAATGGTATAAGTGCGCATGCTTTTTTAAATATTCCAAAAATTTTGATGAGATGGCAATATTGCTCTCTTGGTTACCTATGAAACATTTATTTCCTAAAAGAACGGAGAATGTTAAGATCCTATATTTCACAGCAGAGCGGCAGAACGTGTTCACCTGCTCAAAATGTGCTCATTCTCCAGTTAGCCACAGCGGTTCCCTTCATTTCTTTTACATGTCCTGAAACTCCCCGTCCTCTGTGAGGATGAACTTCTCTTCTGCTCCGAAGAAGCCATCTAGGTTTTGCCTGTCTTAAGAGTCTACTTTTAGGTTTCAATTTTTGCCTTCTAGACTGGGTTGATCTTTAGTCTCCAAATTTGTTTGAAATCCAGACAATTAGGTAACCATGGGAGGAGGGCAGGGTCTGATGTCAGCGCCTCTGCTGCAAGCAGGAGGGGCCCTGGACCCAGGGAAACAACAGCAGCAATAAAGTGCAAAGCCATTGCAAGATTCTCGGGACACAGAAGACAAAAATGGAAGCTTAATGTGTTTTCAGGCGCCAAAATACATTCCCAGAAACCCTAACCGGGTGTTTACCACACAGAGTACAGAACGTATAGGATTCCATAGGAAAATTAGTTTTTATTCCAAAATGGATTAGATGTGCTGAAATTGCACTTTGGAAATGAATTTCCAAAAACTACATGATATGAAATCATTACTGAATTCAGGTCTTGGGGCAGCGTTTACATTTCCAGGGGCCACCACCAGGTCTTCACGTTTTATTCATTCATTTGCAGTGATGGGGTTTGAGATGCCCAAGGGACACCTTCTCTAGGTGAGGGGCAGCCAGCGCCCCAGGGACGGAGGGAGTGACTGCAAGGATTCCTGCTAGAGTCTGCACTCTGCCTGTAAGAGCTGGATAAATTGTGCTGCCTTAGCTTAGAAAGAGGCATATTCACTAGCGTCTGATTATTTACGAAGAAGTTTGGTTTTCTAGCTATTGTTCTGGATGCTGAGGACACAACATTTAGCACAATAGGCAAGAATTTTTACCACCTTGGCATCAGCAGAGGAGAGACACAAGCAAGAAAACACACGGTTCATACAGTATGTCTGACAGGGGTAGGAGCTAAGAAGAACCGGCACGGCAGGGGAGGGAGGGTGTGCGGGGTCAAGTATTTGGGGAAAGAGTCTTGCAGGAAAAGCAAAGAACAAGTTCAGAAACCTCAAGGCAGGAGGGAAGAACCCGGGAAGGAACACTGTGCAGTCAGGTCACAGCAAGACGCTGGCTTTGCCTCGGAAGCTGTGGACAATCCACCAGTGCTGCCCAAGGTAATTCTAGTTTCACAGGAAAGTTCATTCACTCACTTCACAGTGATTCATTATAACTGTGATAAACGTGGCGGAATCTCACTGGGATCCGGATGAACACCGGCGGCTGAGTGCTACAAAGTTCCAAAGTACTGAGATTTGATTGTGTTAGGTCGAGGTCCCCTGTTTATCCTTGTCCCTTTTCTGATTGCTGCAGCCGCATAAACAGACACATAGCGGTTTGCTCATGGCTCACAGTGAATGAGTTGTGGCGTCAGGAACAAAGCGAGTTTGGGTCTCACTCACACTGTCCGTCCAGATCCCCACATCAGGATTGTTATAGGATGGGCAGGGCAAAGCGGCGTTCCCTGGACAAGCCCTCATTTCTCAAGGGAACGGCCCACATCGAAAGACACAAAGGACCAGAGTGACTACATGAACGGGCCCCAGAAGGCCAAGGACGTACTCGTTTCTTTTTATGCCAAAAACATGGACATCAGAATTGATAGGAGAGATGGAAAGGAATCAAGGCATGGCGAAAACACATTTGGTTGATGGCTTTCTGAAGGGATGTCAAAATCAGTCTTTTTGCATAAGGGCTCAACAACAAGTCAATAGTAGAGAAATATATGACTATAATTAACATTGTAATTTAACTGATTCTGATATATATATATGTGTATATATATATATATATATATATGTATATGAAATCTATCTCAAATAAATTCTGTGGAAGAATGGGGGCCAGTGCAGGGAAAAGTTGTGATTACCCTTCTCTAGGAAAATTTTACAACTAACTGTGGCACATGCCTGTAACTCTAGCTACTCAGGAGGCTGAAGCAGGCGGATCTAAGAGTTGGAAGTCAGCTTGGACAATTTAATGAGAACATGTTTCAAAATATAAATAAAAAGGAAGAGCTGGATGTGGTAACACATGCTTATAATCCCAGAACATGGGAGGTTGAGGCAGGAGGATCATGATTTCCAGGCCAGCCTGGGCTTCATAGGAAGTTCAAGGCCAGCATGGACTGCGAATTGAGATACTGTTTCAAATCTATATATTTTGAATATATGCGAATATTCCAAAATCTGAAATCCTCAACATTTCTGGTCCCAAGCATTTCAGGGAAGGGGTGCTCAGCCTGTTTCTCCTGTGGGTTCCTGCAGAAGTGGGTACACGGTTTCTCTTACTTAGATAGATTCTGATTTCTC